TGTTGCCCCCATCAAATTGAAAAAGGTTAGAGAAAAACGTACTGTGCCATGGTACAACAGTAATACCCATTCTCTCAAGAAAAAAACTCGTAGTCTTGAGCACAAATGGAGAAAAACTAACTTGGAAGTTTTTAGAATTGCGTGGAAAAACAGTATGTCCAGCTATAGACAGGCTCTAAAAGCTGCCAGGGCCGAGCATATCCACAAACCAAATCCAAGGTTTTTATTTAGCACAGTGGCTAGATTAACAAGTAACCAGACGCCACTCGATCTAAATATTCCCTCACAGTTTAATAATGACTTTATAAATTTCTTCACTGATAAAATAGATAACATCAGAAATACAATAACAAATGTAGATTCTATAGCGTCTAATACTTCAGCTTCATTCATCACACCCAAAGATAAACGGCAGTGCTTTACAACTATAGGACAGGATGAGCTAAATAAACTTATCACTGCATCTAAACCAACAGCTGGCGGTTATTAAGCCTCTTATTAAGAAACCACAACTAGAACCTAGTGAACTAGCAAATTACATATCCATTTCAAATCTTCCGTTTATGTCTAAAACTTTAGAAAATGTTGTGTCTGCTCAATTGTGCTCCTTCCTGCAAAAAAGGATCTCTGAAGAATTTCAGTCAGGTTTCAGGCCCCACCATAGCACAGAAACTGCACTTGTTAAAATGACAAATTACTTGCTTCTTGCATCAGACCAAGGCTGCATCTCATTGCTAGTTTTACTTGATCTTAGTGCTGCGTTCGACACTCTAGATCATGACTTACTCATAGATTGATTACAAAACTTTACAGGTATTCAAGGGCAGGCTTTAAGATGGTTTAGATCCTACCTGTCCAATCGCTACATCTTTATTTATTTAAATGGGGAGTCATCTCAATTATCACCAGTAAAATATGGAGTGCCACAAGGATCTGTCAATATACATGTTGCCCTTTGGTAATATTATTAGAAAATACAGGATTAGTTTCCACTGTTATGCTGATGATACTCAACTATATATCTCAACAAGACCAGATGAAACTTCTAAATTATCTAAGCTAACAGAGTGTTAAAAATTTAAAAGATTGGATGACCAATAATTTTCTCCTATTAAATTTGGATAAGATAGAGATATTACTTATTGGACCAAAAAACAGTACACACAATCTCTTGGGTTACAATTGCAACTAGACGGATGTACGGTTACTTCCTCTACAGTCAAAAATCTGGGTGTTATATTAGACCGCAACTTGTCTTTTGAAAATCATATTTCCCATGTTACGAAAACAGCATTCTTCCATCTTAGAAACATTGCCAAGTTACGAAACATGATACCTGTTTCTGATGCAGAAAAGCTAGTTCATGCATTCATGACCTCTAGACTGGACTATTGTAATGCACTGCTAGCTGGTTGTCCTGCATCTTCAATAAACAAGCTACAGGTAGTCCAAAATGCAGCGGCTAGAATCCTTATCCGGTCAAGAAAATATCATATTAACTCAATTTGACAGTCTCTGCACTGGCTACCTATTAAGTTCCGGATCAGTTACAAAATATTATTACTTACCTATAAGGCCCTTAATGGTTTAGCTCCTGCGTACCTAACTAATCTTCTACCACGCTACAATCCATCACGCTCCCTAAGGTCGCAAAAGCAGTTATAGCTGATCAAATGCACATTATTATTCTTTAGCTTGGGTTAAACAAATACATTTTGCTTGGTTGGAACAGCAGCTACGCTAATTATGTCTCTTATTTGTTTCTCTGTTTTTGTAACTAGGATTTACACAAGCTTCAGTCTGGATCCAGCCCTTATAAAGATCTGAGATGACCGAACACCTGAGAAGAGATGATGCAAACCCCTCAGAGGACCTCAGATGATGCCAACCCTGAAACAACATACAGAACTACCAAATTTTGCTATAAGTTTGATTGCATCATAAAATAATTGCTGTTAATAGTGTTTATCATCTGTTTGATTACGTCTTTAATTGATTTTTCTGTACATTTCTGCCATATGTACATTAACTGACAGTCACCACTGATAAGCTACTACTAAATATTGTAGAAACTTAACTTCCTGTACAGTTGCTTTGCAACAATTTGTATCGTGAAAAGCTCTATACAAATAAACTTGAATTGAATTAATTGAATACTTGTTTAAATCATGCTTTCAGCTGAAAATATTCAGTTAACAATGTAAATATAATTCTGTCCCTCACATTAAGATATGGAATGGCTTCAGATGATAGGCTATACAGTGCATGAAAAGCAAACTGGTGCTCTTCTGTTTCTTTTGGTGTATGACTGCCCCTTGTGCCGTATAAAAAGCACAATAATTGGTTAGATCAAATAATCGTGATTAGATGGTTATTTAATTATCTCGACAGACCTATTCACAGTGGTAGATTGTGTCTGTCTTCTGTGCTTTTATTCACACACACTTCATAAAGACAAAGTACTATCATAACTTGAGTAATCCCACCTTCATTTTAGTGGTTTTCCCTCATAAACGATTAAAGATTTGCAATGAAAAATATATTTATAGGAACGTTTCAGCAGGTTCAGCATTGTTTTAATCAACTGATCTTCTCCTGTTTATCTGTCTGTATGTTTGTGTGCTGAATCTTGTTACTGGAAGTAGAACATGAAAATAGTTGTGCAAGTAGTCCATTGAAGTTATAATTCTTTTTGAAAACTAATTGTGCAGCTCTAGTGTAGTAATTCTTAGGATAAAATGATCGGTTCTACAAAAACCATAGGTGATTTAGACTAGACTGACAAATGTATTATTTGGACAGCACAATTGAGACACCTGATGTTATGGCGTTTGCTGAAGGAATAATCGTTGCACTGTTTAAACATTTTTTTTTGACCAGAATGAAAATGAGGTTTGAAGGATTGAAGTACGGTGCATTCAATGGATTGTACTTTTCAAAACCTCAGTTCAGCTGACAAAATGTCTTTCCTTAAGCCTTTTAATAGACAAAAACTCCTTTGAATTCCATTTTATCTGCATAGATTTCAGTATTCAACCCTGACTAAGGTCCTTATTTGTATTAGCATGCACAGTTTTTTATCTGAATGTGCTTGAATTAAAAAAAAAAAACGGGAAATTGCATGTATGCTTTTATAAACTTAATACTATACTTTTACACAGAGGGAAGAGCAGGAGCCACAAACCAAAAGGGAGAGTGAAGACAAGAGCATCACTGTAAACATTGACATCCCTGATGTTCTCAAGAAGAAGCTGGAGGATGACTGTTACTATATCAACAAAAGAAAGAAGGTATGCATGCAATTACATACTTTTTTTGGTAATATATACATCATTGCATCTCTCCTGCTCTAAGCTCAGATTTACTTTGGTTTGTTCATTGCATAATTTCTCCTTTAGTCTCCTTAAGTGGCAGTGTGTAATGCTTACAAAAATGATTTTCATTTTGTTTCATTGACAACAGCTGGTGAAGCTTCCATGCCTGATGAATATAGTAAACATTCTGGAGTCCTATGTGAAGCACTTCACCCTAAATGCAGCTTTCTCAGCTAATGAGCGCTGTCTGCACCCTCAGAGCTCCACACAGACTAATATGAGTCCACACTATATGCCACCTGAGAGGAAGTAAGTCGTAACCAAAATTATTTTCTTATAAAGCTTTTTTATTTTGCTTCCCCACAACTCTACACATAGGATATGTAACATGAATAGTAGGGCAGCACGATATTGGAAAAAAAACTCACATTGCAATATTTTGTTTTTCTGCAATTTATATATTGCGATATGAAAAAAAAAATCATCAGATGGCTTGAATAGCTCTATTTAGAAATAATCAATGATTGGGGTAATTTTGTAGGTGAGTACATCAGCATAGAAAATAAATATATTACAAGCATAGATAAATATAATAAAACAAAGATACAAATGAAATAAACAGTGCTTTATATTTTTAAGGCAAGTCTAATAGAATTCAGGTAACTTACAGAAATTGAATAACCAAATGTTAAATAACACTACATAGTCTTCACTGTATAAAGTAAGCCCCAATCCCATTTCTACCCCTTTAGCCCTTCTCCTTTCCCCTACCCCTCTGTTTCGCGCGTTCACGTGAAGGGGTAGGGGTGTCTCGATTCTCTTTTGGTTGGAGGGGTAAGAGGAAGGGCCAGATAGCCTCTGAAACAAAGATTTTTCAGGACCACACTTCAAACGAAGGGGTATGAATTATCTCAGCGTAAACCGGCAACATGGCTGCCCGAGCGAACAAAAAGAAATGTAAGCATTTTTGGCATTAATAAAGATTTTAATGAAAAGTAATCATTTGTTTTATGTAACATTCAATCGTTCATATTTACGGTCATGTTACTCAAATAAATGTTTGCAAAAAATCGCTAAAGTTTGCTAACGTCATATTACAGACTGCCACAACATATTTTCATGTCTGATCAGGGCGATAACCACCGTAGACATTGAGGGGGGCTAGTCCCCCCAATAATTAGAAATCGCTAAATCCTTTTCTCAAATATTACCAATTCGAGAGAGAGATGAAAGTTGCGTGTATGCGCGTTTCTCTTTTTAGAGTGAGTTTACTTCAAAAACAGCGATTTTATCCTCTCTTGGCTGGAAAATATAATGTAGCGATTCAGTATTTAAACTGTTATTAATAAAAGTCGTGGGGCAGCGTTGACAAGTTTCTTTGCTCCTGCATGTGAGAGATCTCTGATATATATGTGTGTGTGTGTGTGTGTGTGTGTGTGTGTGTCAGTAAGCAGCACAGTAATATAGAACGGTAATTAAAGGCTCTAATGCACACCAGTATAGGTGTGTTTATTGTAGGAGCTAGACGACGTATGTTGACGTGTGACGTTATAGTAGTGGTGTCCCAATTCTTAGGGGGAATATTTTCACTGATCTAAAACAGAATTGGGATTGGGCCTAAATCTAATACATTTGTGTTAAAGCTATAAAAGTGATTTTTCTCTGTGTTTTGTTGTTTGATTAACAATCATGACACATAAACCAACAGGAACATTAAACTGCTGTGAATATACTATTACGCATCCGTTTTCTTTCTTAATTTTTTACTTTCACCTAAACCATAAGCAACTGTGTTTACAAGGATACTTGTAGAGACATGCATTTTGACATAATTTTGCGCGTATGTGTCATTTAATAGATGCGGTAGTGAACGGAATTCAGAGTTCACGTGCGTCTGCGTGGCTCTCACTGTAGCTGTGTTCCGAAACCGGTCCCTATCCACTATATAGTGCACTATATCAGGTGTCAGCCATTTTGTAGTGCTGTCTGAATTCTGAGTGAACGACTTTATTCCCTACATTCGTTCACTATTTACCCACAATGCATTCTGATTGAGTGTACAACCGATGTACACTCGCTGAAGCACTATTTCCCACAATCCAATGCGGAGAACCGACGAGCTGGAAGAGAGAGCAGGAGCGAGCGAGTTTTAATGAGAGATTAATATTTTACTAATTTACTGAGGTGGCATCTTTGTTAATTAACAAAAATTATGATAATTTGGTGGATATATAAAAAATGTTAGTTGGTAGCGTTGGTAAAATTAACGGTCGCCTGAGGGCGCTCTACGACCATTGTCATCTAATCTGAGCGCAAAACGCTGCTCGGTAGAGTTTCAAGATACTGCAAAAAATAAATGCATAAAATTATGAACGTGTTAATGTGTTTATTTTTGTGGTAACACTTAAGGTTCATTAGTTAAACATTAGTTAATATATTAACTAACATGAACTAACCATGAGCAATACATTTGTTACTGTATTTACTAATCTACGCTAGCATTAGTTAATAAAAATACAGCTGTTCATGTTAGTTCACAGTGCATTAACTACTGTTAACAAGATTTTAATAATGTATTAGTAAATGTTGAAATTAACATTAACAAAGATTAATAAACGCTATATAAGTGCAGTTCATTATTAGTTAATGTTAACTAATGTAGTTAACTAATGAACCTTATTGTAAAGTGTTACCATTTTTGTTGACCGTATTTTAAAAGAATTTAATGATTATGAACATAACAGAACAAATTAATAATATACCATCAATGAAACCACAAAGCTTACGCTGAGTTACAGTGCCTTGCGAAAGTATTCATACCCCTTCATTTTTTTCACATTTTATGTTGCTGCCTTATGTTAAACTGCTTTAAATTACTTTTTTTCCACATCAATCTACACTCCATACACCATAATGGTAAAGTAAAAAAAATGGCTTTGTAAATTTATTAAAAATAAAAAACTTAAATGATTCCATTGCATAAGTACTCATACCCTTATCTGGGACAGTTGAAATTTAGCTCAGGAGCATTCATATTGCTTGTAGATGTCACTACACTTCAAGTGAAGTTAACCTGTGGCAATTTCAATTGAATGGGTATAATTTGGAAAGGCACACACGTCTTTCTTAAAGGTCTAACAGCTGATAATGCATATCAGAGCAAAAACCAAGCCCTGAGGTCAAAAGAATTGCCTATAGAGCTCAGAAACAGGTTTGCATCAAGCCACATATCTGGGGAAGAGTTCAGAAAAAAATTCTGCTTCATTGAAGGGTCACAGAAACATGAAGTCTCTGTTAACCTTAATGGAAGAAGTTTGAAACAACCAGGACTCTTCCTAGAGCTGGCCTCCTGGCCAAACTGAGCAACTGATGGAGAAGGGCTTTGGTTATAGTGGTGAACAAGAACCTGATGGTCACTCTAGTTGAGCTCCATGATCATATATGCAGATGGGAGAAACCTACAGAAGGACAAACATCACTACAACACTCCACCGATCTGTGCTTTATGGTGGTGTGGCAAGACTCAATACTCTCCTCAGTGAAGACACATGAAAACACACTTGGAATTTGCAAAAAAGCACCTAAAGGACACTCAGACTCTGAGAAACAAGATTCTCTGGTCTGATGAACCTCAATTCCAAGCATCATGTTTGAAGGAAACCAGGCAATGCTCATCACATGCAGAGTACCATTCCAATAGTAAAGTGTGCTGGTAGCAGCCTCATGCTGTGGGGCTGTTTTTTTAGCGGCAGGGACTGAGGGACTCATCAGAGTAGAAGAAAAGCTCAATGCACCAAAATATTGAGATAGCCTTAATGAAACCCCAGTCCAGAGCATTCAGAACCTCAGACTGGGCAGAAGGTTCACCTTCCAACAGGTCAATGACCCTAAGCACACATCAAGAGTGGCTTATAGATAACTCTGTGAATGTCCTTGAGTGGCCCAGCCACAGCCTGAGCTTGAACCCAATCAAATATTTCTGGAGAAACCTGAAAATGTGCATCTGCCCCCATCCAACCTGACAGAGCTGGAGAGGTGAAGAGGTGAGGAGAAGAATGGCAGATAATTACCAAATGATAATGAGAAAAGCTTGTCGCATCAAACAATAAAGACTTGTGAAGGTGCTTCAGCTAAATATTTAGTTAAGGGTATGAATTACTTATGCAATGTACTTATTTCAGTTTTTTTTAAAAGGGTCATATGATGCTGCTAAAAAGAAAATTATTTGGTGTATTTGGTGTAATGAAATGTGTTTGTGGTTTAAGGTTCAAAAAACTTTTGAACCTGATTATTTTCCACATACTGTACATCATTGTTTCTCCTCTATGCCCCGCCTTTCTGAAACGCAGATTTTATTTTTTCTTCAATTTTTACAAAGTTCATCGGTCTGAAAAGCGAGGTGTGCTCTGATTGGCCAGCTATCCAGTGCGTTGTGATTGGCCAAATACCTCAAGCGTATGACTGAAATGTTACGCCCCTTACCATATTGTGATGCCCTGTCCGGTCGGAGCGACGAGACAAAAACATTAAAACCCATTATAAACGAGGCATTTGTTGCATCCAGTGTGGACATAATTACGGATTATAATGACTTATACTGTCTTTTTATGCGTTGCGTTGCATCATAAAACATAAAACCATGTCTGCATTTGTGATCGGAGAAATAACAAACAACAAGTGCTACTCTACACTGCCCAAAAAACTTGCGTTTGAATTGTCAGTGGCAAATTCTTTAAATATAAAAAAACGTACTTACAGTTTGTGAGGATCAGGAGACAGTCCTCCATAAAATGTGCTGGACACATGAATATTTGTGTTAAACTGTTCTGGAACAGTGTTCAAGTAGTTTCGCTTTCACAACGACAGCGTCACACACCGTGGCCTTGAGTGAGCGGAGGCCGGCTTGAGTGAACAAAGGCGGGCGGGCTTGAGAACGGCACGGCTGGCGGATTCGACGAAGGAGTGTCCGGTGGGCTTGCGGCAACCACATGTGACGACCCCGGGCTGGACTCCGCTTTGTCCACAGTGAAAGCCAATCCGGCGATCGACAGCATGAAGTTGATGTATTTCCTCAGCGACTAGCACGGATCAACTCCAGGGATGACGAAGCGGATATCGTCCTCTTTTGGAAGGCCAGCCAAAGTAGTTTTGCTTTCACAACGAGAAACAGCGCCTTCACGACATGGCGGCAACAACAATACTACTACAGCAAGAATAAAAGTTACGCCTTCTTTCTTTGCGTGAACATTTGGGCGGCATTATGCAAATCTTCCCACATCATGACGTAGATATGTGGGGGCATGTTAGAA